TCAGTTTCTCTTATGCAACTGATTGGTTGTTTGAAAAGTGTGAATTGGGAGTGCTTTGTTCCAGGTGAGCCTTAAGTGGGCCTGACTGTTATAAAAAGCCAGTCAGCTGCAAACCAGCTGAGTGCGAACGGCAGAGAGGCTAACAGGGGGAGTTTGCCTGGGAGTTCGCCAGGGGAGAGCCCACTGAGGCTTACATCTTGCTGACTTCTCTGAGTAGTCACTACAACTCCTGAGGAAGCTCGTAGAAGGAAGGTAATATGGATGGAGAGTGTTCAGCTGTTGTGACCTGCTCTGGATGTGCCATGTTTGTCTTTCTTCCACAGGACAGAAGCGACTTTGTCTGTACAAAGTGCAAGCTGGTCTCCAGCTTAGGAAATATCCATAAGCTGCATATTTATGCATACTCAGAACTGTGTAAGATGGTGCAGGAGTGTAAAAGAAATACAGTCAAACAAAATAGGTAATTATACGAGGTGAGTTTTCAGGATAAAAAAACCCAGTGGTTTCCAGTCATCCAACAGTATCTCTTAACCAGGAAGGAGTTTGTACATCACAAGGAATTGGGAAGTTTCTGTCCTTTATTCTATGTGTAGAGAACTTACTCTGTTAATACCTATTATTACTATTAGTATGTGTTCCTTTCAGTAACACTCTGTACATTGATGTGACAGTAGCCCTCTAAGTTCACAAATAAATCACATGGATACATGCCAGAGACATTGGAAATTTGTTTTCCAAACAGACAATTGAGAATTTCATGCAACGTGTGCATTTTCCCCAGCATCAGGACTCTGGTTATAAATAATTCATTATCAGTATGAAAAACCTGATTTGCTTACATTTTGAAAATCAGTACAGAAACATGACAAATACATATTTGCATGTGAATTACTTTTTCCACAAATTATTTAATTTACATAATTTATCATATTTTGGAACCTCCAATCCATTGCATATTGAGCAGGAACAGAATCAAATGACAATGGAATGCTCAAATATATGCACAATGCACTGTGGATTTAAGAAAAATAAGATAAATATGTGCATAAACTTGAAAAATCCACTAGTGTCAACATTTGATCTGTTTGTATGGAAAACTACTGCAGAACTAGTTCAGTTAATGACAGGTTTCAGAGTAACAGCCATGTTAGTCTGTATCCACAAAAAGAAAAGGAGGACTTGTGGCACCTTAGAGACTAACAAATTATTTGAGCATAAGCTTTCATGAGCTACAGCTCACTTTATCGGATGCATGCAGTGGAAAATACAGTGGGGAGATTTATATACATAGAGAACATGAAACAATGGGTGTTACCATACACACTGTAACAAGAGTGAGCTATTTTCAGTGTGGGGGGGACCCTTTTGTAGTGATAATCAAGATGGGTCATTTCCAGCAGTTGACAAGAACGTGTGAGGAACAGTGTGGGAGAGGGAGGGGGAAATAAACATGGGGAAATAGTTTTACTTTGTGTAATGACACATCCACTCCCAGTCTCTATTCAAGCCTAAGTTAATTTTATTAGTTTGCAAATTAATTCCAATTCAGCAGTCTCTCGTTGGAGTCTGTTTTTGAAGTTTTTTTGTTGAAGAATTGCCACTTTTAGGTCTGTAATCGAGTGATCAAAGAGATTGAAGTGTTCTCCGACTGGTTTTTGAATGTTATAATTCTTGACGTCTGATTTGTGTCCATTTATTCTTTTACGTAGAGACTGTCCAGTTTGGCCAATGTACATGGCAGAGGGGCATTGCTGGCACATGATGGCATATATCGCATCGGTAGATGTGCAGGTGAACGAGCCTCTGATAGTGTGGCTGATGTGATTAGGCCTATGATGGTGTCTCTTGAATAGATATGTGGACACAGTTGGCAGCGGGCTTTGTTGCAAGGATAGGTTCCTGGGTTAGTGGTTTTGTTGTGTGGTGTGTGGTTGCTGGTGAGTATTCTATTATAAGAAGAATAGATGCATTGGATCTTGCAGAATTCAACAGTCAGACTACTTGGTGCTGATGGCAATATACATGTATTTCACTCTTAAATGCTTGAGCAATATTTTTCAAAATTAGCCTCTGATTCTGGGGTGTTTTAGTTTTTGGGTGCTCTGCTTGAGTCTCTTTGTACTTAATTTCCAGAAGTTCTTAAATGTATCGCACTTTAGTTGAAGATAGTAGGAGCTCTGATCAGCAGCATGCTCTGCATTTCTGAAAGTTAGGCCCCCAGAATAAGAAGCTACTTTTGAAAATATTTGCCTTACCAATTGTTTTCGTGTTGTTCCCATCTTGAAAGTTAAACTGTGGTTTTTTTTTTAAAAAGAGGTGGGGATCTGTGGATGCAATTGGCACTTAAGAGAAAGAAAGTGTATGTATGTCGGTGGAAGGGGAAAATGTCGTATGGCAGTTATTAGATTGCTTTATTGTTTTCAGAGAAAAGTGATGACTACTAATCTGTGTGTGAATGCTTTCCTTCAAAATGTCTTGCTGCTAAGTATGTCACTAAGCATAATATAGGAAAAAAGAAAAAAATCCCAATACCCTCTTTCAAAGTCCTTGCGATAATAATTCACACTGACTAATGCTCTACTAGGTCTTGTACATGTAAATTGGGATCTCATTCTTGCTGTGAGTGGATGGCATCAACTTCTGCATCAGTGGATTTTTCACTAGTGACAAGTTTGAAAAGCATGAGCCATCTATGGTACAGAGTATTTTCGGCATCCGTCCAACTGAACTTAAGACTCCTCAGCCTTGCTCTGCCTTGCGCAGAGTAGATCTCATTAGTCTTCAGCTCTAAGTTTGTCTGATTAGGTCTTTTCTGTTCAGAGGTGTTAAAAATGACTGAGAACCCAGAAAAGAATCAGGAGTAAGATGTGTAGATACTACTGTTGTGGCAAGGAATTACAACAGGAGCTGGCAGGGATGGGATGTGTTTCATTCCAAGCTTCTGAACAGGTGTTCATAGCAGTCACTCCCAGAAGCTACTGCTTATGAAGGGAAGGAACAAGTCTTTTAGGAAAAATAGCACAGAGGTTTTATATAATGGTTTCCTGTGTTTTTTCTCTTAGAGCTCTCTTTTGTAACAGCTTGGTCACACGTCAATGTTATCTCTTCCACATCTGTAAAAGTTAAGAAACCTGCTGCATTAAAAAGAGAGAACCCTACCACCTGCTCTTTCAGTTCTTATAGGCAGTGTGTCCATAATCAGAGTGGTGTGAGGGTTCAAATGTATCTCAGACTGGGGCAATAATTTGTTTGCTCCCACATCGATGAACAATTTCTCAAGACAATTTGGACTTAAGACTCCCAATACTTAGATGAAAGGCTGTATGGAAAACAGCCTCTGACTTGATCTGGTGTTCACCAAATTCTTCTCTATCGCTGAGATCTCTTTTTTTGTATTCACCCTTTCTGATGACTACCGTGGCTCTTTCAATATAACTCACTTGCCCCTCTTCCTCACCCTACTATCTGATTGTTTAGTGACTCCCAGTCCATCAACAACCATGACTGTCTCTCTGTTTTCAAAGCCTTCTTCCCTGCCCTTTTTCCTTTCCTCCATTAACTCAGTTATCGATTCTACACAGTTTGCTGTCCACCATTCTCAACTCATTTTCTCTTCTCTCTAATCACAAGGTTCCACCAGTTAACCCGTATTCCTAGCTCACCTTCAACATCTGTTTCTTTCACTCCTGTGCTCACATAGCAATCTGTCTCAGGCAGAGGTCTCACAACTGCGTGGACTTTCTCCAGTATGAATGCTCTGTCTCTTCCTCAAATTTGTCCATCTCCATAGCTAATCAGATGGACTTCTACACACTCATCCTGTCCCACAACCCTTAGCCCAGCAACCATTTTGCCACCTTTCACTTCCTTCTGGAGCTCCCCACTCCTGCACCTTTCTTCTCCTCTGCTCAGGATCCCTCTGACTTTTCAAAGAAGAAATTGATGAGATACAATAAGACCTTCTCCCTTTTTTCATTTCCTTTTTTTCTCTACTCTAACCTGTTTTTCCCTCGTCACTCACAAGGAAGTTTCTTGTCTGCTCTTCTCCTTTAAACCCTCCAGGGACCTACATCCCATCATGCCTTGCCTCCATTTTCACCTTTCTATTCAACCTCTTGCCTGTCTTCTGGTTCATTTCTTTTCCCAGAATAGAAACATGTTTTCGTTTACCTGCTCACAAAAATCGCACCCTTGACCCCATCTGCATCTCCAACTCTCATCCCATCTCCCCTTCATCTCCAAGCTCATTGAACATGCAGTCTCTAACTGTGCTTAGAGTTACCTCCTTCCAATTCCATCTTAGACCCTTAACAATCCCTCTTCTCAGTTAAAAAATAAAAAAGCAGTAACCACAGCGATAAAATTTGAACAGCCTAGGTGAATTCTGCTTGGGCTGTCCGTAACTTTTTATATACTTACAAAAAGATGTATAAATAAGCTGCAGAAGTCCAAGTGCCCCTTTTCTTCTACTTCCCTCCCTTATTACCAGGTCTGGAAAAAGTTCTATTTCTAGTCTTGTGACAGACCCCTTCATAAAATGGGTGACAACTAGTAGTTATAGCAAAAAACAAATCTGCCAACAGTAGATTGTTTTTCTGCATATAGATAGAAGCTGCTCATAAGTATTTAAAAGTATTTGGTAGTTTACCTAGTTATGCAATATAATATAATTTAATGTAAAGTCTGTTCATTTTCAAACATAATTTACAGTTGTGTGAAGAATTATGAGCTAGCTCAAAAGGTATTCTTTCTAAGGCTCTGTCATAAGCAAAGATTTTTTATTTTTAGAATATTTTGGCACAAATTCTTAACCATATGAAAAATCTTTATTACAACTGTTTGATTAATATTTTCTATTTTTTCGAAACCATTCATTCACATTTATTTGGCTAATTGTAGTTTGTTTTGTGTAATTTTTCTGTTCCTTCCTTTTGGAACGTAAGAGTTTAGTTTCAAAACATTATTAAGGCTATAAGCATTAATTATTTTCTTTCCTTCAGAGCCTCAAACCTGCACTTTGAAAGACTTTCTCTGCACAAATGGAGATTGTGTTTCTGCGAGATTCTGGTGTGACGGGGATTACGATTGTGCAGATGGCTCAGATGAGGTAGGCTTCTTCACAGGCCAAAAGGAAAAAATATTCCTTTAGAAAACTGAGATCAAAATACAGCTTGCTGAGGTAGGATTTGTTTTCCCCCCTCACTGGGAAGCAACAAAAAAAATCCATCCTTAGCCATCAAATATCACAACCTCCAGGTGAATGCACAGAGGGAAGGAAAATAGGACTAATGCTACTAGTTATATCTGAGGGAAATTCTCATTTAGCTTATGTAGCAGAAGCTTGTCTTTTTTGGAGGAAAAGGTTGTGAGTTCTGTTCCCTGTGCTGCAAGTGCAGAATACAGTCACCTGACAATCATGCTGTGTGTGTACATACATTTCACAGCCTCAAATAGTTTCAGTATTTACATGTTCTGTTTATAGTTTGCACTCATTTATTCATATTCACATTCTACCCCGAGTCAACATATGGATCTCCTATTAAAAGCAGTGGCAGTTGCACGGAACAAGGGAATGAAGCCCCTTGATAATGGAGCACAGGCTATAAACAGATGGGAAAAACAGCATTTCTGATATAGAAATATTACTAAGTAAATATTGTAACTATCAGAAAGGAGAGCAATGGGAATTATATATATATATACATATAACTCTCAAGCTGTAAATGGCTCTAAGAAATCAAATAAATTAAGTTTATAAAATCCTTTAGGATTGCTAATTTTATATATTTATATACCTATAACTAAAAAAATAAAGATATTTATTGATAGCATAACTGAGTTCTTTTTCCGACACTGATAAATGCACACAAATCTGTTTGTTGCTCTATGCTGTATCTGATCATGGTAAAATTAACTTTAATTTTTTTTCTGTAATAGTGTTGTTTTCCATCATTATATAGAGCTCTGCTCAGGGGTGAAAGTAACTCCGAAGACTTAGCAGTACAGGGGCCTCCCCCAGCCAGCCCTTCCACGCCGCCTGGCACGCACTGCCTGGTGCTCCAGCGGCAATTTAAAAGGGCCCGGGGAAGCTGCTCCCTTTGCCGGGGGAGGGAGGGCGGTAAAAGGGGCAGGGGTGTGGAAGCACTGCTGTGGCAGCACTTTAAGGAGGTCCTTTGCCGGAGCAGCGCTTTAATGTCCCTGCCCCTTTTGCCTCCCCCGTCAGCTGCCCTGCCAGTAGGGTCTGTACCAGCAGGGCCACCGACAGACGGTGGAAAGGGCAGTGACGTTAAAGCACTGGTTCTTTGTTGCGGTAGTGCTTTAACGTTGTTGCCCCACCCCCGGTCGGTATAGACCCTATGGCAGGGCCGCCAACAGGGGAGGCAAAAGGGGCAGGGATGTTCAAGTGCTGCCGCGACAGTGCTTTAATGTGGGCTGCGGACTGGCCGGTACCGGCTTCTAACAGGTACTTTCACCCCTGGCTCTGCTACATCTCAGACATTTCTCTCAGGTTTCTTTGCAATTTGCTACCACTGAGGATGCTGTGCCCTGATATTCTTTTTGTTTCAGTCTTCTAGTCTTGCCATCCTATTTTGAGCATCTTTTACTATTGAACATTTTTATGCACCCACTAAGTAGTTTAAAAAGTTTTTAATATATTTGGATACATGGTAAATGGTTTCACAAGCAAATAAGTACATTTGATAACACTTTATTAAGTAAAGATACCCCAATAGAGAGCAAGCATCAGTATATTAATAATTGGGGAGGGAGTTAATTACATTAATATTTACAGGTTAAAGTCTGCCAAAATTATGATCAGGGCAACAGAATTATACTACTAACAGTGACTGTCAAATAAGGTGCCAGGTATCCCATTGCAAAAACTGTACCCCCTGTTAAAGAGTTCTTTGCTAATTAAGGGCTCAGTTCTACCACTTTTAGTCACAATCAGTAGTATCATACTGTGTAGCAAGGTACTTCTCATTGTTGAGTAAGGGTGGCAGAACTGGGCTCTAGCCATTCTGACTGGCTGAACGTTTTCAAATGTTTTATATAATACCTTTATATTAATAGATATACTCAGTTATATTGTTTTGTTTATAACAGAGATATTGTGAACCTGGCTGTTCAAAAGACCAGTTCCAGTGTTCCAATGGTCAGTGCATATCAGCAAAATGGAAATGTGATGGTCACGAAGATTGCAAATTTGGGGATGATGAGAAAAATTGTGAACCAGGTAGGTCTATATAAGTGATCTTTAAATTTTCCAGGAAAAAAATAAAAGTATTAAAAAGATATGAAGAACAGAAAAGAAAAAGTGAGTAAACAAATCAAGATGACTGATATCAGAAATAACAGGCACAGGCTCAGTAGCAAATTCGTTGGTTTGTTGTATATGTGATCCTTTTTGCAAAGAATTTCTGCAAAACTGATTCAGTTTCACATTACATTTCCTGATATGAAATAGAGAGGCTTAGACCAGTGGTTCTCAAACGTTTTAACTTGTGACCCCTTTCACATAGCAAGCCTCTGAGTGTGGCCGTTATAAATTAAAAACATGATTTATATATTTAACACCATTACAACTGCTGGAGGCAAAGCGGGGCTTGGGATGGAGGCTGAAAGCTCGTGACCCCCCATGTAATAGCCTTGTGACCTCCTGAGGGGTCCTGACCCCCAGTTTGAGAAACCCGGGCTTAGACCATGTGTTTTTCATTACCTTCATGAATGACATGGTATGCTTGAGGATGGGGTGCAGCAAACCACAGTGCTCGGGAACTAAATTGTTACTGCTACTTGTGGCAGGGCATCCACAGAGCAAGCAAACAGAAGGCTTAGAAGAGTGGGGAAAATATCCTGTGGCGCATATATGATACTAGCAGCAGAGTTCTAGCATTTTTAGTCTGAGCTCTACTACAAGAATTCCTGTGTAAAACTAGGCAAGACATTTAGTCTACCTTTTACTCAGTTTCCCATGCTGTAAAATTGGGATAATAATGGATAACTTCCTAACATAAGGACTGTGGTGTTTAAAGCATAATAAGGTACTCTAAGATCTTTAGATATAAGAGTTATGCATTATTAATAATAATATTAATATTCATTATTAAAATTTAGAAGACTTGTTCTATTTACCTGATATTATTCTGCACAGTTGTAAAAAAATACTTGAGCTGTTTTGTTTTTTGTCAAATTACCCTATACCTCTGATGTTTATATTGGAAACAATATACCAGATGCACATAGGTTTTTTTTTACTTTCATTGTGTATTTTGATCCTGATCCTGTACTGTAATTTGCTCGTGCTGTCCTTTGTGCCCATGCAGAGTCTGATTGAAGTCACTCGGACTCTGTAGAGCAGTGGTTCCCAAACTAGGGGCGCCGCTTGTTCAGGGAAAGCCTCTGGCGGACCGGGCCGGTTTGTTTACCTGCCGCGTCCGCAGGTTCTGCCGATCGCGGCTCCCACTGGCCGCGGTTCACCATTCCAGGCCACTGAGGGCTGTGGGAAGGGCAGCTAGCATGTCCCTCAGCCCGCGCCACTTCCCGCAGCCCCCATTGCCCGAGAACAGCAAACTGCATCCACTGGGATCTGCGATTGGTTAAACCTGCGGGCATGGCAGGTAAACAAACCGGCCCAGCCTGCCAGGAGCTTTCCCTGAACAAGTGGCGCCCCTAGTTTGGGAGCCACTGCTGTAGAGGCACCAGGGTCCATACCCACAGATCTGATGCATAACTGAATGCCTTAGAATGTGGAGTCTTTGGGATGAGAACCTTGTCATATTTACAGTATAAAGTGCCTAACTCAATTCTGATGCACTATAAATATAAATTATACCCTACTCTTACTACACATTTTCTTTAGCTTGAGATCGTTTGTATTAAATTTATGGTGTCCTTCACATCATATCTTGAAAAATCTACTTGCATAAATGCATGTAGTATGAAGTTTTGTTGAGGTAAACAGCAATATGTGTTATATGCCTCATTTCAGAATATAACCCCCACATGTACATCAGTCTTGCAAAATTCTGCTTTCCCACAATATTTTTTTCCCCAGATGGTAAAATATCATTAATTGTTGGGTTTTATGTTCTGTGTTGTTTCTTCACTCATTATTAGTCAGCATGGCACGGAGCAAGCAAATAGCTATTGTAGATAGTCATTTACATTTGTGTGAAAATTTTGAAAGAGTAGTGTCATTATTTTTAATAATAGTGGGCCAGCCCTAGGTGGATTTTTGCTTAGAGTGGAAAACATTTTTGCTGCCCACCCCACTCAAAATGTGCAAACAAACAAAAAGGCAAAGGGAGGGTTTGCAATCCCAGAATATGATGATCTGATGCCTCAGAAAGTTGGCTCCCAAAGCATCCATTGTGATCACCCACTTCCCTAAAACAGTGCTGGGATTGAGAGGTCTGAGATCTGACTTCTGTTGCCATTGCAGAAAAGATTTGTTGTGTAACATGGGCAAATCATTTAATGTTTCTGTGTTTCAACTTTCCCATCTGTAAAATGGATTATTTTCCTACCTTACAAGAGTAATATGAGGCTTAATTCATTAATTAATAAAATTCCCTTTTTACAGAGGGCCTGCACAAAACCTGTGTGTCACTTATGTCCCAGTTAGCTATCAAAATGTATGAGATCCTTAGCTGGAAGATGCTATATTAGTGCAAAGGTTTTACTTAATTTTTATTGTTATTGTTATTGTATTTATGTTATTGTTTCTTTTTGAAAATACACATTTATATTAGAGTGATAGAGGTAGTTATCGCTGTGAACATAAGAACATAAGAATGGCCATAGTGGGTCAGACCAAAGGTCCATCCAGTCCAGTATCCTGTCTACTGACAGTGGCCAATGTCAGGTGCCCCAGAGGGAGTGAACCTAACAGGTAATGATCAAGTGATCTCTCTCCTGCCATCCGTCTCCATGCTCTAACAAACAGAGGCTAGGCACACCATTCCTTACCCATCCTGGCTAATAGCCAATAATGGACTTAATCTCCATGAATTTATCTAATTCTCTTTTAAACCCTATTATAGTCCTAGCCTTCACCACCTCCTCAGGCAAGAGTTCCACAGGTTGACTGTGCACTGAATGAAGAAGAACTTCCTTTTATGTGTTTTAAATCTGCCGCCCATTAATTTCATTTGGTGGCCCCTAGTTCTTATATTATGGGAACAAGTAAATAACTTTTCCTTATTCACTTTCTCCACACCACTCATAACTTTATATACCTCTATCATATCCATACCCTCTTTTCCAAGCTGAAAAGTCCTAGCCTCTTTAATCTCTCCTCATATGGGACCTGTTCCAAACCTCTAATCATTTTAGTTGCCCTTTTCTGAACCTTTTCTAATGCCAGTATATCTTTTTTTGAGATGAGGGGACCACATCTGTACACAGTACTCAAGATGTGGGCATACCATTGATTTATATAAGGGAAATAAGATATTTTCGGTCTTATTCTCTATCCCTTTTTTAATGATTCTCAACATCCCGTTTGCTTTTTTTGACTGCTGCTGCACACTGTATGGATGTCTTCAGAGAACTATCCATGATGACTCCAAGATCTTTCTCCTGATTAGTTGTAGCTAACTTATCCCCCATCATATTGTATGTATTGTATGGGGTTATTTTTTCCAATGTGCATTACTTTACATTTATTCACATTAAATTTCATTTGCCATTTTGTTGCCCGATCATTTAGTTTTGTGAGATCTTTTTGAAGTTCTTCACAGTCTGCTTTGGTTTTAACTATCTTGAGCAGTTTAGTATCATCTGCAAACTTTGCCACCTCGCTGTTTACCTCTTTCTCCAGATCATTTATGAATAGGTTGAATAGGACTGGTCCTAGGACTGACCCTTGAGGAACACCACTAGTTACCCCTCTCCATTCTGAAAATTTACCATTTATTCCTACCCTTTGTTCCCTGTCTTTTAACCAGTATCAATCTATGAAAGGATCTTCCCTCTTATCCCATGACAACTTAATTTACATAAGAGCCTTTGGTGAGGGACCTTGTCAAAGGCTTTCTGGAAATCTAAGTACACTATGTCCACTGGATTCTCCTTGTCCACATGTTTGTTGACCTCCTCAAAGAACTCTAATAGATTAGTAAGACATGATCTCCCTTTACAGAAACTATGTTGACTTTTGCGCAACAATTTATGTTCTTCTATGTGTCTGGCAATTTTATTCTTTACTATTGTTTCAACTAATTTGCCCGGTACTGACATTAGACTTACCGGTCTGTAATTGCCAGGATTACTTCTAGAGCCATTCTTAAATATTGGGGTTACATTAGCTGTCTTCCAGTCATTGGATACAGTAGCTGATTTAAAGGACAGGTTACAAACCACAGTTAATAGTTCTGCAATTTCACATTTGAGTTCTTTCAGAAGTCTTGGGTGAATGCCATCTGGTCCCGGTGACTTGTTACTGTTAAGTTTCTCAGTTAATTCCAAAACCTCCTCTAGTGTCACTTCAATCTGTGACAATTCCTCAGATTTGTCACCTACAAAAGACGGCTCAGGTTTGGAAATCTCCCTAACATCCTCAGCTGTGAAGACTGAAGCAAAGAATTCATTTAGTTTCTCTGGGATGACTTTATCGTCTTTAAGTGCTCCTTTTGTATCTCGATCGTCCAGGGGCCCCACTGGTTGTTTAGCAGGCTTGCTGCTTCTGATGTACTTAAAAAGCATTTTGATATTACCTTTTGGGGTTTTGCCTAGCCGTTCTTCAAACTCCTTTTTTTTTTTTTTTTTGGTGGTCAAGGTTGCCTAAGAGGTTTCCATATTAATATCCTGTGGTCTGTTACTCAGAACTTTCTGAGCATGGAGACAATTAAAAAAAAGTACTTTTGTCATAAAAAATACACGTGCAACTTTTTTAATAGTGCCTTTAAAGTGCACAGCAACTTGTTTTTGTCAAAACAGGTACCATAATTACAGATTATGGAATTTGCACAAGATATTGTGAATTACAACAAAATATGTGTTTATCTAATATGTTTTACCTAATACTAACATTGAAATATGAAGTTACTTATTTATGAATTGCTAATCCTAAAATTTATGTTTGTAATTAGCATCTCCAACCTGCTCTTCAAGCGAGTATGTGTGTGCCAGTGGAGGATGTATCTCAGCATCTCTCAGGTGTAATGGAGAATTTGACTGTGCTGATGGCTCTGATGAGGTAACTGGTGCATTTCTTTTGAGCCCCTTATACTATTTGATGTGAGGTTTATGATCAACAAGTTTAGAAACTGAAAATTAATAAAACAAGAATTAATTCCATGAGCCCAATGTTTTCACCACCAAATGATAAAGCAAAATATGCAAGCATATAATATCAGAACATCTATATTCCAGGTCTTGACTTGAAATTCAGTAGCAATTTCAATTGCATTGTTAATAGTAAATAAGAAGAAGCAGCCAGGGCAATTAAATTCTAACAGCCTTGAAGAATTCTGCTTGGTCTGTCTATAACTGTATTGTTATTGTTAATGAATACTGCAGTACACATCTGTATTTAAACAGATGGATTGTGTAACAGAATGTAAAGAAGATCAGTTTCGATGCAAAAATAAGGCCCACTGTATCCCCATCAGATGGCTATGTGATGGAATCCATGACTGTGTGGATGGCAGTGATGAAGAAAACTGTGAAAGAGGTGAGACATTGTTCTTGTCCCTAAATGAAAACACTTGAAATTTCTCCACTTATTTCTATTTAAGCCTATTATAAGTTAGCAGCACCCCAGAGTCATACTAAAGTAGATTAAATGAAGGCTCTGTGATCCCTTCCTAAAAAGACATTACAGCTGTTCCTCAGATGGCTCTCTGCAATGTCACAATTCATGCTGCTTAATTCTTTCACTTTGTATAACATTTTTTTTGTTCCATAGGAAAGAAAACAATGTGCCTTCAGTACAAGTATTATCAAAGAAGAAAATTCAGAATGTTAAAAACGTCTATAGTTTATAGCCAGTTTAGGCAACATTAATAGACAGAGCTGTACATTTTTAAACAAGCTGCAAAATAAAACAAAACAGAAAAATAATAAAGGCCCCAATCTTGCAATTAATTCCATGTGGGTGGACTCCTGTGCCTACGCAGAGCCCCACTGGGCCACATTTAGGGGCTCTATGGTAAAGGGCCCACCCACAAAGAACAAGTTGGAGTATTGGGACCTAAGTGTTAAACATTTAGGCCCAAATCTGAATGCCTAAAGTCAAGCTTCTAAATACGTAATTAGGCACCTAAATAGAGGTGGTCTGATTTTCATAAATGCTGAGCACTGACAAATTCCATTCTATTCTTACTTCTTCAACCTTGCTTTAATAAGTAAAAGCAAATAGAATGTAATTAAAAAGCTTCTTCACGCAACTTTCCTCCTGAGGGATAGAAATGAAAAGGTAAACCACATGACAGTACTTTTGATCTAATCCTCCACTTAATGGCTGCCCCAAGTACCATACACCACAAACTACAACCTTAACTCTGTCACTATAGGGATGCCAGCCTCCAACATCTGACTTTTTTCAGTAAGTGTAACATACAGAGTCTTGTGTGTCACAGCAGAGTAAAGCAAAGCATAATCAAGTCTTAACAAGAAAAATGCACGATGCAGTATCTTGGCAACTACTTGTTCCCAATCCTAAAAGTGAAAGCAAAATTCATTGTTCCCAGATGAATGGTGCTGCATTTAGTTGTATAAAAATGCATCTTGTTCAAGTGAGCCAAGCTTACCATTTGATCCAGACATCTATGTAGAATTGACTTTTCCTTATCATTATTTACCATCATGAATGATGAGCCAACGTGATGAATGTTAATCACCTAACTGGCAGGTACAATATGAGTGCCACAATAGAAATGTCATTGGGAACTTCTTTCTTAAGTTTCATAAGAATGAAAGATAAGCCTAAGAGAGTTAAGGGACATCTCACAAGCTTAGAATGTGTGGGCTTTGGTGTGAAAATGTCGAGGCGCCTCAGTCATGGACCATTACCCCACTGTGCTATATGCTGTACAAACACAGAATAAAGGGAATGGTCTGTGCCTCAAAGAGCTTATATGATCTGGTTGAAGAAAGTAATCTGTAGGAGTAGTAAATATCTTAGAACAAGGTCATAAGTTGCATTGTTGTGTAAGGCCAGAAATAGACCATAGCTGCAACATGTATATAATATTTTGATTACAATGCTCTCCTTATTCTATAAACATTGACATTTATTGTGCCAGTGGAGGATAAAGACACTCCCTTGCACAAAAATTTCATTCAGTCTGGGGAAAACAGTAACTCTGAGATACTGTCCCTGAAATAGTAAAGCTACCATTTTGTACCAAAAAGCAGTAGTATGGGTACGGCATACTTATGCAGTGCCCAGATCTGCATATGTGGACACTCAGTGTGGGGATGTGGTACACAGTCTAGCACACACAAGTAACCATGTACATTTGCGAGTGTAACCGTAGCCTAAGAGGTCAAGCTAGCTCCACTGGCATATCATAAAATTCAGCCTGTATCGTAACATATTACAGATAAAAGACCAAAATATATTAAAGAGTCTCACTATAAAATTAAAATATTCTATGCAGTGAAAAACCACTTAGTAGATTCCAAATTCATGAGCAAAGAAGTGTCTGACTTTGGCTTGAGTGATGAATTGTTTGAACAACACCCAGATTGTTCTTCAAGTTACCAGAATAGAACAGAGACTAAGGTACAAATACTGTATGGTAGCCTGTAGTAAATAGTGTCATTGTGAAAGTAGTAACTCCCTGTGGGTACTGTCAAAACAAGAGCTCAATAAAATGAAGAAAAAGAAAACTTTGATACAACACTTAACAGACAGCCCATGAAAGAGAAGAGGTTTAGACCTCTATGAGCTAAATGGACAAAACTATTTAATTGCAAGAGTATTATTCAAGGTATCACAGAGATTGCCATCTGATTTACCTCTGAAAATTATATAAATCAGGAATAACTCCACTGAAATCAGTTGAGGTACACCATTGTAGTTGAGAGAAGTAGGTTCTGCATATTTTTCTAATATCACGAGACTGTGTAACTGAAAAAAAATGAAAGGGTGATTAGTCATTATGGATTTCCAGGGGAACTAGTTATAAATGGTCCACATTTCACAAAGCAAGATTTCAAAGCTGTTCTAGAAAAATACAGTTTGCAGCACATTACTAACAGCCCATATTATCCCCAAGGAAATGGAAAGGATGAAAGAACAGGCAGGGATAACTCACTCCTTTTAGTCCCTCATGACCTGCAGAACAAATCCCACTTCATCAACTGTTTAGTCCAAACTGACTGATGCTTGTTTAGACCAATATAAGTTACACTTTTTACATTTGAAAATGATTTGCATCCTAGAAGGTCAAAGTTTAAACAAGTCCAATGTGCAAATGAAAATATAAAAGTGACTCTAACAGTTCTTTGAGAACCCTCCTAAAGATTAAAGCAGATGATGCCAGGAAGTGCCATATTATATAAAGAGAAAAAAAAAACCCTGATGGCTTGTGCAGTGGTCAAGGGAGAAAAACCTTATATGCAATTCATAAAAAAGGCAATTTGTAAAGAGAATTTTTCAAATATTTTACCATATTTTAAAAGAATGGGGAGTTATTGTCAATTAAATAGATATTCAAACAGATAAATAGTGTTGATCCTTAAATTGAAATAGCAGCTAAGCCTGTCATTTCACTAGTTACTGCTACCACAAATGAATACAAGAAGCCAGAAGCTGTTCTTAATACTACAGCATCTGTTCCTATTGTGAAAACTTCAAGTGGATGGATTATTAAAAACCTTGAACAAAACAGAAATGACTATATTACTTAGAGGTTAGAGAACTGAAAACCTAGTAAACATAGCAAATTATTCTTTTGTTTGTATTCAGTATGCATGCCAATCTACCTAATGTTTTTAATTGTTTAAAAACCAAACACCTGTTATTGTTTACTAAATTTCTTGTTAATTTGATAAAGAAAATCAATTATGTATTCTGATATAATTGAAATATGAACAAAATAATTAACAACATATTTAATAATCTAAATGCTGATTGAAGTGTTTTTAATAGAATACAAGTTACACCACTTCAGGAAAGAGTTAGGCATATTGGAAAAGGAGGAAATACCATAAATACTTGGACTTTTATAATTAAAGTTATATAATATATAAGGTAACTTCTCTCTCTTGTCTCTTAATGGTCCTTTGGAAAATAAAAACCTTTTTTGAGCTGAATTAACAAGCAAACCCAAACCATCCACTCTGTTACTGAAAAGACACAAAAGGTGTTTGTTGGGCTGTTACGCTCTATTACTTATGGAATATATGGTCTTATATATATATACTTATGGAATATATATACTTATGGAATATATATAGTGGATTTGGGAGGATGAATGGAGAGCCAAAGCTGGAGCATCAGAATCCATTTAGGAAAAACCTGGAGGGGTATGTCCTTGAATAAGCTGGAACCTTTCTTTGTGTTTCTCCTGGTTTGCACCACTTGCACCTTATAACCAAGTGTCCTGATGTAGTCAAGTCCTTTGCCCTCAGAATTCCTCTGCAATAAAGAAAAGTTGCATAGAAGAAGATTACAATAAGCTCCTTAACTGAGGATTTTCTAAAAGAAGCTGGTTAGTCTTTAATGGTTTAGACACAACAAATCCTACGTCTTGGCAGAGGCTTAGACTGTCTGACCTTTGCTGTACCTCCTAACTTTATGGTTCTATGATTCTAAGATATTTTAACTATTATAGTTAAAATACACCTGCAAGGAGAACATGTTACATGGGGTGGTTGTCTCCTGACTCCTGTACCTCTCTCCCTGCCTTAGCCCCTCAAAGTCACACAGAACTTGGCTCCATTACAGGAGCCACAAAATGAAGAAAGAGCAATGAGTGGCTATGCTATGTTGGGGAAAATATATTGAATGGCCATTTCCCCTTTCTGCATGCCCCTCCCAAGCCTTCCCCCATTGGATTTGGCCCTTTCATGCTCCATGTTTCATTAGCTGACCGTAGCATATGGACAAATGAAAATAGGGTGTATTTTGTTTTATTTATACCATGAATTCACAGTTATTTATTTCTTCAAGGGGGAAATATATGTAAAGCCGATGAGTTCCTGTGCAACAATTCACTTTGTAAACTCCATTTTTGGGTGTGTGATGGAGAAGATGACTGTGGAGACAACTCAGATGAAGTCCCTGAAATGTGTGGTATGCCTTTTGTTATTTTAATGCTTTGTATTCATGGCACTGAAGTGAATTAGTGAAGTAGAAAGATGTACAGTTTACAACCCTCAATTTAGGAATATATAGAACTCGCTTCACTACCTCTTTTCTGTCAAAGACTCTGAGTTATGCTTTTCCTCATTTGACTTTTAAAGGATTGTCTTAAATATGGGTATACAGACAGTAAGCTTAGATAAAAACAAAATTTACATTAAATTATATTATTCTACAATCCAGTGGAGATTTTAAAATCAGAAATGGCAATAAGCAAATGCCTATTTTTTCCTCTCAAATGGGGTTTACAATTACTCTGGTACAGCTTTCAGAGTGGTAGCCATGTTAGTCTGTATCAGCAAAAACAATGAGGAGTCCTTGTGGCACCTTAGAGACTAACAAATTTATTTGGGCATAAGCTTTTGTGGGCTAAAACCCACTTCATCAGATGCATGGAGTGGAACATACAGTAGGGAGGTATAAATACACAGCATATGAAAAGATGGGAGTTGCCTTATCAAGTGTAGGGTCAGTGCTAACGAGCCAATTCAGTTAAGGTGGAAGTGGGCTTAAGTGAATTGGCTCATGGGCATTTGGTGAAGAGACTCTATACCGACAGGAGAGAGCTCTCCCATCAGCATAAAAAATAGCCATGGTAAGGGCTGGGTCGGGGTAAGAGCTGTGTGAGCAGCTGTGGAAGACTGGGTCCCTCCACTTGCCCCGGGAGGAGAGCCCGGGCTCTCTGGCCCCGCTCAGGCTTCTGGTTTTGCCGGGGTGGGGCCACCTAGGGAATAGGAAGGGGCAGAGGCATGGCCTTGGGGGGAAGAGGAGGTGCCTCGGGGAGGAGGTCAGAAGCCCCTGACACCCCCCCCCGCCACATCTGGGAAGGCTCCACTGCCCCTGCCCCCTGATGTATTTATAAATAGTAGTTGTATCCCCTTTCAGCCTTCATTTTTCTCACAAAATCTCTCACTGCAACTTGTTCAATTTTAGAGCAGAGCCCTAAACAATCTTAGTGTTTACTGGAGCTTTCATAAGTGAAACTAGGGTTGTCATGAGCCCGTAGTGCTATGAACTAGATGCCTGCAACTTAACCAGCTCCTCTAAGCAACCTGTGTGGCTTCTACTGCGGGACAGATCAGCAGGACAGCCTGCTCAGCTTCTGCTCTATGAGTGAGTAGAGGAAGGGAGGTCCCAGCTGCCTCTCAAGATTCAACAGTGGTCATTACTATTAGCAGATTAAAAATAAGACATTGAGCCCAGTGAGTGGAGGGATAGAAATAACAAAAAGATGACAAAGGGAAAAGACAGTATGACATGAAACATGACACAAGCATTGAAAATTGAGAGTGGGGCAAATATGAACAACATAAACCAATTAAAGAGAGAGATTGCTTCTGAAAGTGAGAGCATAATAAACCACTAGAAAACAATACATCAAAATGAAGAGGGCAGGAAAGAGGAAAAAATATAGAGATGGAGAGATTATGGGATAAATACATGAAAAAAAGGAATCAAGAGACTTGGGTTATGTTCCAAGCTGTGCCAGTGCTTCATGACCTCAGACAAGTCACTCCATCTCTCTGTGCTTTAGTTTTCCTATCTATAAAATGGGAACAATGATACTTACTCCCCTATGTAAAGTCATTTGAGATCTACGGTTCAAAGAATTGTGAATATGTGTATTATTAACTAATTTATTTAAGATTGTTTATGTTTATATTTTCCTAGCAGATGTCTTTTATCTCTTGTGAGTTTAAGGGTAAGGAAAGGGGTGGATACTCGAATTGGCCAGTTTTTGTACTATGAACATTTTCCAGTTTTCTATTGACGACTATATGTGATTGTTAGCATAAACATCTGGGCTCTGCTTCAACACTAGAGAAGGTTTTGAGCAACTCCAATATCTCCTGCCTCCTTTTTTTAAACAAAAAATCAACTAAATTGATTAACTGCTTAAATCACATCAGGAGGGCATAAAATCATGCAATCATAAAAGCATACACATCCAGTGCTCGTTTACCACACTGGAAGGAGGCACAACACAAAGACAGGTAAGCTTTATGAGCAACTGAAGGATGCTTGTGCATAAGTACAAAAGATTGTTGTTATTCTATATTAATGGATGCTGTCTGATGTTTTCTTTCTACAGTCAAATTTCCATGTCCACCTACAAGACCGTACAGATGTAGAAACAACAGGGTTTGTCTGCGACCTGAACAGATTTGCAATGAGATTGATGACTGTGGTGATAACTCAGATGAAGATCACTGTGGTAGGTGGATTTACCTTTTGAGGCATTCAATTAAAAAACAATTAAAGGCAAATTTTATTACAAAGATTAAATTGTACTTACAAAAAGCTTAATTGAAAGTTTGTGGGTCATAATTTAATTCTCAAAACAATTAGGCTTGACATCTTTGAAACTCTTTAATGCTTTGTGGTCATTTCCATTTTTATGTGCAAGTAGTCTAAACAATATGAAATGCTAATCTTCTTGTGATTTTTCATTTGTAATTATGTAGATAAGATCCCATATAAAGCAAAACCTTGTAAAAAGGATGAGTTTACTTGTAGTGATAAGAAATGTATACCCATGGAGCTGCAGTGTGATCGGTTTGATGACTGTGGAGATGGTTCAGATGAGCAAGGATGCAAAATAAGTGAGTCCGGTTGATAAGCTGTCTGTTTTTCATACTTGTAGCACAAAAGAAGTAACACAATGAACTGGTATTCTTTCATGCAGAACCTATCCAACAAAACAGAGTTTTCATTAACATGAAAAAGTGTAAACTATAGTTTCCAAACTAATATAGCTGAGACTAATGGTTTAAAGTAGAATATGAAGAAAATTAACAACTTTTCCAAATAATAGTTATTTTGCTTCAGAAAATAATCAACTATCTGACCCTTCAAGAGATGACTCAATCCATTGTGAGCTGGTTTAGCTGTTTAAATTGATTATATTTCATTTCACACCTATTCTTCTCTATCGAAACAAATAAAAAGGTTTTGTGATATGAAATTCTTGATCTGAAACAAAATCACTGAAACTAAGCTGACAGAAGAAACTTATCCAAACATTGATAATACAGTTTTTCAAGACTTGCTAGTCACACAGATATATTTTATTTAAATAAATTCAATGATCTAATAACTTTCATACACCTAAATTTTATTAACATACATTTATTGTGCAGAAAATACATTAAATTATAGTACCTTGTGGCAATGGGTTGTTTTCTTAGGATGGTTGCAGTATGCTAAGAAAGCCAGCTGTTTGCCAAAATCATGCAGCTATAATTAACTCAATATGAGCTAGAATAATTCTAGAATATATGAGAGTGGCTTTCACAGCCTCTCTTCATTTTTCCGTTTATGTCCTTGCAGCTTGTGGGACATAAAAATTTGGTCAAAGGTTCAGTCAGATAAGCCTAATAATACATTTATTCAGGCTTGTTTCAAACTTCTTTGGTACGACATGTAAGCCGAATGTCTCATATGAACAGGCATTTATATGAAATTCTGGTTCTCTGTGTCAGGAGTATGGATTTTTAGAGTAATCTGAGGTTAGGATCCTTATCCCTTTCTCCACCCTCCAGTTAGCTCTCCTGTGAGGTCTGAGGAGTATGAATCCGGACCTTCTCAGATTGTATAAATCTTCCTTTGAGGCTCTGCAGTTCTCTCCCTGAAAATAGATTCCTGGAAAATGGTCATCTCGGTCAAGAGAATGGGAGAGCTTTCAACTATCCTCCATGTTTGAGAAAGAAGCTGAATCTATTTTCATTCTCTTCAAGAGTACTGTGAAATCTAGATATATCATAGCCAAATAGATAAAGTTCATTATCCTGGAGTTTACAAAGCTACAGAGTTCCCTGTCCACTAAAACTTAGTGCCCACTCCACAATAACCATGTCCATCTCCTTAGCCAGAGAGGGGGTGCACCAATGGACAAGCTTTGTAAAGATGCACCTTGGAAATACCAAGAGATACTTAACTAATGTGCTAGTGGATGCTGCAGTAATTCTTTTTGAGGTTGTTCTTATGCTGTGTATCCTCCACAATAGTAAAAAAAATGAGATATACATAAAGATGTGTTCCACTATTTTATGGTATCATTTTGGCCATAGTGAAATAAAACTATTTGTTATACAGTCATCTTAAAATTCCTTTTGTCCTGCAGAAAATGATTGTGGTTTGTTTTTTAACAGGAACTTAGTGTTAGAGTTCCCCACAGAATGGGAGGAAGTTTAAGGTTCTTACATGTTAGTTGTATGGATGAACTGTATCATATGTAGTTGAACAAATGCATAAAATCAGTAAAATACCCACTGCTAAAAAACAAATGGATATTTACTAGAGTTGAGTGACGAAAAATGAATAATTTATCTGACAAACTGAACTTCTTCTTTTCCATGTGGAATATTTATGCCAGCTTGCAATTTCCTACATTTGTTGGTTGTTCAGAGATGTTTGAGAGGATTTTTGTATGCGTAATTGTGGTTTTTAAATTTTTTTTGGCTTGATCACAAATATAGTTATCTGAAAATATGCCATATTCTATCAGTATTAATTAGTTGGCTAGGGCAGATAAGAAACATGTTATTGTTTCCATTCCCTAATTGGATGAGAGTTCAGGCACATCATTTGTGGACAGCCACATGTGAGAATTTAAGAGTCCATTTCCACAAAAACCTTGTTCAGATATTTTTGCCAATAATAATCGGTTGGACAAATGTTTGTTGAAATTAAACATAGAAGTATTGTGAGCATGACTGAAATGAATTTAAAATTTTCAGAAACCTTTGTTGTATTCAAACAGCTTTAGTAGTTACAGTCAAATTTGTTTAATTAAATAGAATGTATCATAAAAAATAAGAGAGCAATTCTAACAATTAAGTATTTCACCATTTATAGATATTCCATTTTACCAATTTAAGTCTATTCCCATAGGTGCCACTGAATATACTTGTGAAGCTGATGTGAATCCTTGTGGAGATGATGCATACTGTAATCAAACAAAATCATTAGTTTTCTGTCGGTGTAAGCCTGGATTTCAGAGAAACAGGAGGAATAGGCAATGTGAAGGTACAGTATATTTCCTTTGCAGCTTTCATTAAAGCTTTCTATTGCAATTCTTCTACATCCTTTTACTAAGTAAATTAAATGATTGCTTTTAGAGTCATAGAGTTTAAGGTCAGAAGGCACCACCAGATCATCTAGTCTGACTTCCTGAATATCACAGGCCACCAACACCATGCAGCACCCACACATTAAAACCAGCAACTGAAATTAGGACAAAGTCTTACAGCCCAACTAAACTATTATGCGCCAGAGACAAAGAATAGAAGGGACTGAGAAGTACCAGTTCCCACGGCCGCACCAATGGCAGAGAAATGATTGTGAGATATACCCAGGTAATCCTGTCAAATGTCCTGCACCCACATGCTGCAGAGGAAGGCGAAAAACCTTGAGGAATATTCCTTCCTGGTCCTACAGGTGTTGATCAGTTAGATCCTGACCATGTGAGCAAGAACTCACCAGCCAAGTATCGAGAGAGAGAATGCTCAATGCCACCTCAGAGCCCTGGCCTACCCCATCTTGTGTCCCATTTCCAGCTGTGGCCCTCACTGATGCTTCAGAGGAAAGAGATAAAAATAAACAAAATTTCTGACCCCTACAGGTGAGCTGATTGAAACCCTGAAGCATAAGACACAAACTGGAAGTGAGCACGGGGCTTCTGAGCCCTGCCTCCTGCCATTACAAACAATCATATCACAAACACTAATAAATTTGTACAGCTAATAAAAATTATGTGTACTTATGGGATGTCATTTTACATCTGAGAGTAACTGGACTGTGAAAGTAATCACACATGATATACTTATAATATGGAAAACTACTGCTAGGAATTTGGTTGTTTTTGTTCTGGCTCTAGTTTAGCAATGCAAATTAAAGAATTAACATCACAGGAACTGTCAGAGAATTAGTTTCATTCACTTAGAAGATATAGCATTACTGACATCCTCTTGAGTTTATAGGACTCTTTATTAAAGAATACTGTAAAATGAACTTTTGATACTTCTGAAAAACATGAGATGCTCCGTTATGGTTTTTCAGGCACTCCTTCAACAATGCTAAAGTGTGCTCTTCATTGAGGTGGCCTCTGCATATTCATTCTTGGGAGGTTGTGTGGTCCAGTGTCACTGAACTTTAGGAACCTTTTCTGCAAGCAGAACCAACCTTGTGTGGCACTGCACATTCATAGCTGAGGTTATAAAAGGACCCAATCACCTCAGTGTAGAGCCAACTACCTCAGTTCTTGCCATTATGTAGCCAGATGCCAATACAGTGACACTTTCTCTGTCACCAGAGTGCTTTTTTCCAGGAGGATTAATCTAAAATTTATTTAATTTCTGGTGTATTTTAGGTAATTTGCACCATTAGACATTCAGGTTTTTTATTCTCGCCTTGGGTCACAGCAGCCTTGGGACAAGGATGGTCACCCCACCAAAAACTCAAATAAGAAAAAAAGGATTCAAGTGCTGCATACTTTGCCCATCCTTGGTCTTGGAGGCAGACACACATAACTGCTTTTCACTCTGCTTGAAGCCCATTCCCTAGATCAGTGTTTCCCAAACTTGGGATGCCGCTTGTTCAGAGAAAGCCCCTGGTGGGCCGGACCAGTTTGTTTACCTGCCATGTCTCAGGTTCGGCCGATCACGGCTCCCACTGGCCGCGGTTCGCTGTACCCTGCCAATGGGGGCTGTGGGAAGTGACACCGGCCGAGGGGCGTACTGGCCACCTCTTTCCGCATCCCCCATTGGCCGGGCACAGCGAACCGCAGCCAGTGGGAGCCGCGATCAGCCGAACCTGCAGATGCGAAACAAACTGGTCTGGCGCGCCAGAGGCTTTCCCTGAACAAGCGGCGTCCCAAGTTTGGGAAACACTGCCCTAGATGGTTGCTTTGTTTATAAGACCTTCATACTTCAACCTTTTATAAAATGCAGAGTCCCCGGGCCCTCCGCACAGATGAGGCCTTATGATTGCAGTTCCTGCATCTAACGTTGGATCAGCTGTGAAGTCACAGACTAAGCCAAGTTTGGATTCAAAGTTAGGCATGTCATAGAATCACAGAAGTGTAGGACTGGAATGGACCTCAGTAGATCATCTAGTCCAGTCCTGTGCACTCAAGGTAGGACTACATAATAACTAGACCAGACCTGTTCTTAAAAACCACCAATGAATCACAGAATATCAGGGTTGGAAGGGACCTCAGGAGATCATCTAGTCCAACCCCCTGCTCCAAGCAGGACTAATCCCCAAGTAAATCATTCCAGCCAGGGCTTTGTCAAGCCTGACCTTAAAAACTTCTAAGAAGGAGATTCCACCACCTCCCTAGGTAACGCATTCCAGTGTTTCACCACCCTCCTAGTGAAAAAGTTTTTCCTAATATCCAACCTAAACCTCCCCCACTGCAACTTGAGACCATTACTCATTCTGTCATCTGCTACCACTGAGAATAGTCTAGATCCATCCTCTTTGGAACCCCCTTTCAGTTAGTTGAAAGCAGCTATCAAATCCCCCCTCATTCTTCTCTTCCGCAAACTAAACAATCCCAGTTCCCTCAGCCTCTCCTCATAAGTCATGTGTTCCAGTCCCCTAATTATTTTTGTTGCTCTCCGCTGGACATTTTCCAATTTTTCCACATCCTTCTTGTAGTGTGGTGCCCAAAACTGGACACAGTACTCCAGATGAGGCCTCACCAATGTCGAATAGAGGGCAATGATCACGTCCCTCAATCTGCTGGCAATGCCCCTACTTATACATCCCAAAATGCCATTGGACTTCTTGGCAACAAGGACACACTGTTGACTCATATCCAGCTTTTCGTCCACTGTAACCCCTAGGTCCTTTTCCGCAGAACTGCTGCCTAGCCATTTGGTCCCTAGTCTGTAGCGGTGCATGGGATTCTTCCGTCCTAAGGGCAGGACTCTGCACTTGTCCTTGTTGAACCTCATCAGATTTCTTTTGGCCCAATCCTCCAATTTGTCTAGTCCCTCTGTATCCTATCCCTACCCTCCAGAGTATCTACCTCTCCTCCCAGTTTAGTGTCATCTGCAAACTTGCAGAGGGTGCAATCCACAACATCCTCCAGATCATTTATGAAGATATTGAACAAAACCGGCCCAAGGACCGACTGTTGGGGCACTCCACTTGATGCCGGCTGCCAACTAGACATGGAGCCATTGATCACTACCCGTTGAGCCCGACAATCTAGCCAGCTTCCTTCCACCTTATAGTCCATTCATCCAGCCCATACTTCTTTAACTTGCTGGCAAGAATACTGTGTCAAAAGCTTTGCTAAAGTCAAGGAACAACACGTCCACTGCTTTCCCCTCATCCACAGAGCCAGTTATCTTGTCATAGAAGGCAATTAGATTAGTCAGGCATGACTTGCCCTTGGTGAATCCATGCTGACTGTTCCTGATCACTTTCCTCTCCTCTAAGTGCTTCAGAATTGATTCCTTGAGGACCTGCTCCATGATTTTTCCAGGGACTGAGATGAGGCTGACTGGCCTGTAGTTCCCAGGATCCTCCTTCTTCCCTTTTTTAAAGATTACTGAAATTCCACAGCCTCCCTAATCTGTATGTTCCAGTGCTTAACTACCCTGACAGTTAGGAAGCATTTCCTAATCATAGAGTCATAGAAGATTAGGGTTGGAAGATACCTCAGAAGGTCATTTAGTCCAACCCCCTGCTCAAAGCAGGACCAACACCAAGTAAATCATCCCAGCCAGGGCTTTGTCACGCCAGGCCTTAAAAACCTCTAAAGATGGAGATTCCACCACCACCCAGGGTAACCCATTCCAGTGTGTCATCACCCTCCTAGTGAAATAGTGTTTCCTAATACCCAGTCTAGACCTCCCTCACTGCGACTTGAGACCATTGCTTCTTGTTCTGCTATCTGCCATCACTGAGAACAGCCGAGCTCCATCCATAAAGTCCAACCTAAACCTCCCTTGCTGCAATTCAAGTCCATTGTTTCTTGTCCTATTCTCAGAGGTTAACAAGAACAATTTTTCTCCCTCTTCCTTGTAACAACTTTTTGTGTACTTGAAAAATTGTTATCATGTCCCCTCTCAGACTTCTCTTCTCCAGACTAAACAAACCCAACTTTTTCAGTCTTTCCTCACAGGTCATGTTTTCTAGACCTTTAATCATTTTTGTTGCTCTCTTCTGGACTTTCTCCAATTTGTTCACATCTTTCCTTAAATGTGTCGCCCAGAACTGGAGAGAATACTCTAGTTGAGGCCTAATCAGTGCGGAGTAGAGTGGAAGAATTACTTCTCATATCTCGCTGATAACACTCCTGCTAATATATCCCAAAATGATGTTTGCTTTTTTTGAAACAATGTTATAATGTTGACTCATATTTAGCTTGTGATCAACCATATCCCCATATTTATTTCTTTCTGTAGGCAGTCTTTCTGTAGGCAGTCTTTTCCCATTTTATATGTGTGAAATTGATTTTTCCTTCCTCAGTTGAGTATTTTGCATTTGTTCTTATTGAATTTCACCCTGTTTACTTCAGACCATTTCTCCAGTTTGTCATGGTCATTTTGAATATTAAGCCTCTCCTCCAAAGCCCTGGCCAACCCCTCTGTATTTTGTTTCATCCACAAACTTTATAAGTGTAATCTTTATGCCATTATTTAAATCATTGATGAAGATATTGAACAGAACTGGTCCCAGTACCAATCCCTGAGGGACCTCACTCATTATGCCCTTCCAGTGACTGTAAATCACTGATAACTACTCTGTGGAAATGGTTTTCCAACCAGTTATGCACCCATCTTATAGTAGCTCCATCTTGATTGTATTTCCCTAGTTTGTTTATGAGACAGTCATGTGAGACTGCATCAAAAGCCTTACTAAAGTCAAGATATACCAAATCTACTGTTTCCCCTCATCCACAAGGCTTGTTACCCTATCAAAGAAAGCTATTAGGTTGGTTTGACATGATTTGTTCTTGAAAAAATCCATGCTGACTGTTACTTATCACCTTATTATCTTTTAGATATTGG